TGTGGCGCCATCTACTGGACTTTTGTTTTAATGGCGAACAATAAAAAGAATCATCATAATTGAGTACTTGACTGTTTTTCAGCTTGCCATTTATTTTATTTTTATTATATTTTTTAAAAGAAAACAGCACAGGTGTTAAACTAAACATCAACACAAGTGACAATGTGGCTTAGAAGCAGGGTATGCTGCTATATCAACTGTATAATGTAGCCTATATGAACTGTATGTGAACTACATTAACTGTCTGCCATTAAACACAACTGTGCACATTTCTGTGTTACACTGTTTAACCGAAATTATTTTTTTTAACATAATCAAAAGAATAGAATATTATAGGGATGCTTAGCCTAAGATGTGCAAGTGTGTTTGTACTTTGATAGTTTGTATATCACAAAGATATAAAAGTGATATAAGTGAATGATATCAGTTTCCCAGAGGTGCAGATAGTTACAGGTTAAATCTCAGCCACCGTCCCCAAATAGCTGAGGATTGCCTTAACAACACAAAACCTTTAGGTCTGGCAACCATCTGTTTTTTAAGGTCAATATAGAATCCTGATAGCTCAGCAGGGCAGTTTCTCAGTACCAGATGAAAATCGGTTGAATGTATGTAAATTCCAATTCTTACATATGATGAATTTTGGATGGAAATTTTAAATTCATTCATTAATTCTGGGGATGGCCATTGATAAAGCCCTTTTCAGAAGAAATTCCCAATGTGCAAAACTCTCAAAATTTGAAAAGAAAAGAAAAGAAAAGAATTAATACTAAGCTTCCCTTGCAGTTTTCCAATTCATTATTAGGAAATATCGATTTTCAGATGAGACGTCCTGATGAATGCATATTTGGTGCTCTGATATGTGTGTAAAAAAGCATTCATGTGATATTGGTTGCAAAGGAGGAAAAGTTGATATACTGGCCACAGGACATTAAATATTGGGCTGCCAAGCAGAAAGAAAAGAAATAGACCACAGAGATTCATGGATGTAGTGATAAAGGACATGCAGAGGGTTGGTGTGACAGAAGAGGGTAAGATGAAGGCAGATGATCCACGGTGGCCAACCCCAAAGGGATCACTAAAAGAAAAAGAAGAAGAAGAGAAATCTAAAATTAGTTGGAGGTTTGTACCTTTGGGATTTCAAATCCATAAATAGGTCTTCCTCTGCACTATGCCATAAACTTAGTTTTGCCTAGCTTGCTTCCTACTTCCCTGCTGGTCTTATGTTCTGGATCTTTGCAGGGCCTGAAGCTTGGGTTTTATCTGCTCTATGGATCAGATATGTAGCCTCCGTGCTACTCACCAGGCTACCCATTTCTAACCACTGGGAGGATCTCTTGATGTCACCCACTTCAGCTTTTGAGTCTCACAGAGGTGGAGATATTCATTAGTTACAGGATCTGATAAGAAACCCTTAAGTTAAATTTTGCACAGGGTCCCCTTGTGGTTGAGACCGGCCTTAGCAACACGAGAAATTTAGTTCTGGCATTTGTCTCATTTATTAGAGATAATATAAACGATTATGTCACCCACTTCCACTACGTCCCAGTGATATATCCCAGAGACTTGGTTTTCCACTATATTTTTTATTCCTTCCCATCATCATCTGTCATCCCTCTGATGAACTCCTTATTTCATCCTCCGTTGTGGATCCCACCCTTGCTAGTCCTTACCCTGTCTCTTTTTTTATTGCAACAATGTATAGTCTTAGGGTGCTGGACTTTGCATTATGTCTTCACATCTGTTTTATCTATGTCCTCCTGTGGCTGGTAGGCCATATATGTAAGGCTGACTAAGCTCACTGAGCTGACTTCACATCATCCGTTTTACCTTCAGGAGATGTTTGTATCTAGCTGACGTCCTCAGTATCTCCATCGTGATTTTCACTGACTTGTGGTCTAGGTACTTGTAGCCATCTACTGTAGGAAGGCTTTCTGACAATTACCAGAGTTACTATATCTTTAGGACATCCTGATATCCTTGCAGTAGATCCTGGTGAGGTCGATTTGTGATTTGATGTCTTGTTTCCCCCTTGTGTAAAGCTTGGTGTCTGCTTCTAAATCTGTATCTGTATTGAGTCTTTGCAATGAGCTGGATCACGGGGTTTAGGTCTGTGCTAAACAGCATCAGTGACTTGTCCTGGTTACTGATAAGAGTTATAGTATAATAGTATATTAGTCAGCAGTTCTTAAAATAAATCTTTTTTGAAATCATTAGAATCATGAGAATCTTATGGGTTGTATAGCACAAAGCACTTCGGACTAAAGCTCTAAAAGGAAATGGGAATAAATATGAACCATGTTTATTTAATTGTGCTGTCATAAGGTTGTCTGGAAGGCCGATTGCTGCTCTCCCACTTTTGTATCTTTACTTTAATCTCCTGTGTACACTCTGTTCTGGCATATAATCAGTGGTAACTGGACCATAATTGCATGAAGGAAATACCACAGGCTCATTAAGACTTGAAAGATTCTTTTGATGTTCATTCTCAAGAAAGCGGAACACAGCGCAGAAGCTTTGGGAGAGGCACGGCCAACTACTATTGTTAAGAAACAAACAATTTATTCCTCTGCTTCGGATAACTGGCTTGTTTGGGGTGTCATTTACAAAAAGTAAAGTGCAGTGAAATCTTTTACATCAGGAATATAGGCAACTATTTTTTTTGATACAACAACAAACCAATCATAGTATATAAATTGAGTTGATGATATTAAATTCATCATAATAAGTAATTTTCTAATCAAATACTGTGATTTATTCTGGCACAGTGAAGCCTCCACAGTTCTCGTTCTCAGTGTATTGTTATTAGATGGAGAGGTTGAGTTCTTTTTCTTTCCTTTTTTTTTTTGTTCCAGGAGCATCATGGAGAAGCATGTGCAGCACATTGCAGGCGTTGCACGTGACTTGAGGCCACAGTAACGTCATCCCCGAGATTAACACGAGAAGCAAAAGGATTCCCTTACACCTACTTCCGCGCTCGGTTAAATAGAGATTAGTTCACACCATACAGTTCTCTCGCTTCGTTAAAAATGCAACCCGATAACCCACATTTAAAAAAACAACAGGCAGAGAGCTATTTTGCATCATGTGTCCCCATTTTTACTTTTTATTCAAATGCGTTTTACCGAACTCACGTTGCATTTAGGACACCTCGGAAACAAAACGTTTCCTTACAGCAATTCAGTGAATTAGTGTCAGGCGTGGCTCTTTTGTAGCCCCACCTCCGCCAATCTACAACCCCACATGACCAGGAGAACAAATCGAGTGGGAGGGGTCATCATGATGCACAGATGTCTATCATTGGCTATTGAATTTACTACTCTATGTAATGTTTATACATCTCTCGCTCTCTTTAAACTTTTAGTTCTTGTTAGCCGAGCCACCAGAGTGCACCAGCTGTCCTTGTCTTTATATAGTCATGGAGCCTCTTATTCAGAATTCATTTAAGCATTTTCTTTGTAATCTCATCAAGATTTTCGATCTT